TTGGGAGGGAGCATGGATGCAGGGTTAAGGCTGCAGAAAGCTCCCTGCAAACCAGCCAAGTGAACCTGCCTGCTATCGAAGACTGGCAGACAGTGGAGTAGATGACTATGGAGGAACACCAGGACAGAACAGAAGAGACAGTTAGCCTCGCTGAAGACCTGTTACACACTGTACATGCTCGAGAGGGACACAGTGGGACATCTGGAGGCGAGGTGATGTGACGAAGGAGTACAAAGTCAATTATGAGTTTGTTATGAGCCAATAATGATATTATAGGAAATGTCTGCCAAAAAGTCACATAGAATATATGTAAATGACAATGAAACAAGCCCTGATTGTCTGGTGATTGTTGGATATGACAACTTGCAATGTGCAGAAGAAACTGCTGCAAACCTAGGACGCTCCCATAAAAGGTTTTCAGTTACATTTTGCATTGGTTTCCGATAAGCTGCATCCTGTAGGTGTGGCTTTACAAACAAAACACGCCTTTCATATCTATAGCTGTCTACGACCGATGGCCAACTTGGATTAGAGTCTAAATTATTGTAATACAGGAGAGCAAAATGGTGAAAACATGCTATATTTACTTATTTCAAATTTACCAAGAATGAAATCTAAGGGCAAAGAGCGCTGTACCGAAACATCAATGGAATGACAGGGAGGATTAGAGAAATAATGCGCAACTGAATAGGATTTGTGCTTCAGAGCATATATTAGCATGATCTTATGAATTAACTTCTGTGAAATCCTCGGTGTTTAGGATTTGGAGTTAAAATGGTCTGTCTGGTTTTCATGAAAACAAAACTGAAAAAAAAGTTTTGCTCCATAAAAGAGATCTTTTCCTGCTGCATCCTCTGTCACATCACAAAAAAAAATGTCAATCATGTCTCATAATCCTGGGCCAGTCAGACAATTCAAATTATAAAAACAAATAGTACTTTGCCTCCTGCTGCAGAAATGTGTCTTAAGCCATTTAAAGTCTTACAGACCACATGACCACATAAAGGGGCTGCTGAGACATCATATGAAATGCCTGACTTCTTAAAATAATCACAATACAACCATTTTGTTCCGGCTTAACACTTGGTAACAAGGGGGGAAAAGGGGACCATGAAAGGCAAAGTTAGCTGGAAAAAATGGAAAAATATGGTAACAATCTTTTTAACCATCAATAAGCATGTGCATACCGTAATGTGGAATGTCGTCCAGCACGTGTGATGCCGTTCCCAGTGATGGGAGAAGGCAAGGTGCTTCCTCCATGCAGGTCTTCTATAGAGCGGCTCCAGGGCTTAGACTTATCCATCACAGCCTCTGGGTTGTTCTCCGCACAGTCTCCATCAAACCTGTTGTCGAAGAAAAATCATTCAAGTCCAGTTCAGGTTTGCCTGACCAATACAATAGCCAGTATGTAAATGGAGGCCATTAATCAGGCAGGCAATCACTAGACATTACGCGATCAACATCAGAGTCAAAGACAAATGGCAGGAAAGGTAAGTGTGGGGGTTTGGTCAAGGTGGAAGGAGACAGCAAGAATACACCACCAAAACAGTACGGGGGCCGAGTCAGCTGCCACATGTCCTTTGGTTAGAAAGTCTGTAAAATGTGAATTTTCTTCATCAATCCACTTTTCTTTTTTTTTCTTTTTTTGTGTGTGAATGGAAAAAAACATATATAAACTTATTAAACTGAACTAAACTGAAAATTAAACTAAAATAGTGAATTAACTGTAACACTAAATTAAAGCAAGTGAACGTACTCTGAAAGTTAACTGAAACTAAACCTGTAACGATGATATAACTAACAGTAGTTCTGGTACTCCAAATAAATACTATACTATAAATAGCATAGTTCTCTTCTATTGGTGGGGCAGGTTGAGCTGTTGTGAGTACATGATTTTAGTGCCTTTTTTCTAGTGTTAACTTTTTCTTATGGATTTGAGACAGGAGAACAGACATAACAGTACGGATTATACAACCAAGCAAAACAAATTCCAAAACTAAATAACCTAATGTCCCTAATTTTCTTTGACCCTGTCGAGCAAACGGGTGGAAACAGGGTTATGTAATGTTTTGGCAATGTTTTTATAATGGTTAGTATTTTCCTGTATAGTAGAATTGTGGTCAGGTATAAACGTGCAACATTCAGTTCCAATGACAGTACACGTTCCTCCTTGAGAGGCCAGTAAATAATCCAGTGCAGCCTGGTTTTGTAAAGCTATCATTCTTACTGCAGCTTTTGCAGTAGAGTTTGCAAGATTTTCAACCGCATAAGAAAGATCTCTTTTTTTTTTAATCTAAAACTGCCATGACTCCATAATCTGGAAAGAGAGCACTAAACTGAAGTTTAGCACAAGACAAGTGTCACAGGGAGTGACTGGCCAAGCCATTTTCTCCTCCTCCTTAAACTCTGTATTAAACCATGCACCTTAGGCCACTCACCCAATGATTGTTATTTTGCTATTAATTGTCTCTTTAAATTTTAAGTCTTCTCCTTTATCCCAGTCTGTGGATACTGC